GAATTAAAAATTCATTTATTTGGGTTATAAATGTATCTGTATTTAAGATATACTCTTCTACTGATCCTATATTAATGTTTTAACGATGAGCTTGCCTTGTTACAAGTCGAGGGAGACAAATATTACATGTATAGCTCTACTTTTGACTCAACAATAAAATATATAATATGAAATTCTTCAACAACATTAGCCCTAATTTCCTTGAGTTCTGATAAAATGCTCTCCGCTATTCTCATCTTCTTAATCAAGTCAGGGGCGGACTGGCCATAAGATCCAGTGGGCAATTTGCCCACGAGGCCGCGAGAAAATGTCGATTTTGAGGCCGATGCAATGATATATATAACATAGATTGGCGATTCATTCATTAATTGCATGATAAAAATGTCCTCACATTGCAATCAGCTGTGCGCCATTTTGTAGTTTGGATATCCATTATGCATGAAATATTAATACATATATAATATTGCCAAAACTAGTCTACGAAGATAATTTTTTGAAAAGTTTCCATTTATGATATATTATTTTTCTTATATTCTATTAAAACGCAAATAGATTTTGAAAAACACAAAGGAGAATATCATGGCTATGTTGATTTAGGTGGTGGGACAAAATCAACAAAAGAAGATGAATCATGTCCAGAAGCAACAAAGGCCCTATTTCTTATGGTGACCTGTATTAATAGCAGCTGGAAAATGCCAATAGCCTATTTTCTAGTTGTAAAAATAAATTCAGATATCCTAGCTAATTTAGTGATAGATGCATTGCTCAATTTAAATGAAACTGGAGTAATATGCAAAGCCATTGTGGTGTGCTGTTAATAAAAAAATGGGTAAATTGCTTGGCGTTAGTATGGATCCTGATAATATTATTCCATATATTGAGCAGGAAAGCCATGACTCGGAAAAAATATATATTAAAAATAAAAATTATATTGTATAAGGAATGACCAGATATTAGGCATATTATAAAAATTATGATCTTATATATTATCTATGCTAATTAATTATATTAATTTTTTATAGGTGATGATATAATCAAAAATGACGAAAATGTACTCAAAAATAATATGAAAGTGAACTGTTGCAATATCTTTTCCTTTTCAAGGCCTATACATATATATCATTAAATACTTATTAAATATACTTTATTAAATAAATAATTTATATAATATAATTTATACTCAAGCAAAAAATGATATTATTACATTATGTATTTATTGAAAAAAAATAAAAGATATTTTTTTATTTGTCATTTATAATTAAGATGAAATAATCAAAACAAAACAAATGATCAACTATGAAGAGAATCTTAATAGTATATACTTTTGGAGTTATCTTTAGTTCTTCCTTTATAATAAAATTAATAATACAAAATAAAAAAATTAACAGCACCTATTTCTCTTATTAGTAACAAAATTTGTAGATTTTATCTATACAGGTCTATTTTTTACATAAACTTATGAGTGATTATTGTTTTAAGTTATAAGCCACTATATTACATAAAATTATAAAAGTACCAGCTACATAGGGGGGGATGCCTTTGATCGTAAGACACTTCATCGTATTTTTCAATTAATAACATTTTTACCTTTCCAAATGAATCAATAACATTTTTACCATTCCAAACCTGTTAAATATAATAATAATACATTAAAAATTAAATTTTACCATTCCAAATGAATTAATATCATTTTTATCACTTCAAACTTTTTAATCTCCATTTTGAACAAATTGGACGAGTTGGACGAAAAATACGATGAAGTGTCTTACGATCAAAGGCACCCCCCCCCCTATATTTTAGATTAAATCATCAGTTGAGGTGAGAATTTATTTTGTATTGATATAGATAATTTAAAAATAATGATCGAGGCATTTGATCCATATGGGTTAAAGGAATCTGGGTGGTAAGGTTAATTGGAGTTTGGTGGATTTTTTGAGAGTATAATAGATAGAGGTATGGAATATTTTGCATGAAGGGTGGTATTGTAGCTTTTTAAATATGTATATCTTGAGTCTTATATTTTAGATTACTAATAAAAAGAATTGAAGAACTTGCTAAAATCATCAGTTGAGGTGAGAATTTATTTTGTATTGATATAGAGAATTTAAATATATAATAATAATAATGATGAGGCATTTGATCAACGTTCAAGCTACAAAATGGCGCTACAGCTGTTTGCAATGTGAGGACGTTTTTAATGAATGAATCGCCAATCTATGTTATATATATCATTGGGCCGAGGAGAGGAAAATATCAAAAAAGAGGCCGGTAGGAAAAAAAAACATTATTTTGTTCACATTATTTTCTCTTATCATTTATTTATTTTTAATGATATCTATTATTTGAATATAACATTCCCTGAGAAGAATTATCATGTCGTTTACTATATTTGAATGCATAAAATATCAATTACGTCGCTTGACGCTATATATCATTTACCACGTGCTTTTCGTTTTTTTTTTCAAAGGAAGTGAAAACGCTTATGTTTGAGTTTGAGTAGAGTGAAAGCTAAGTTTTGATTAATTTATTATATTAAATTTTATACATTCATATATTGTATATAGGAAACTATAGTGATTGATTGTATTTCTTCTACTTAATTCATTGATCCTTTTGAGCTTGGGCTTGAGTAGAGTGAAAGCTAAGTTTTCATTTATTTATTTAATTTTTATACATTAATTTATTGTATATAGGAAAATATTGTGATTGATTGTATTTCATTGATTCTTTTGAGCTTGGGCTTAAGTAGAGTTAAAGCTAAGTTTTCATTAATTTATATTATATTTTTATACATTAATTTATTGTATATAGGACTTGTTCTTAATTCATTGATCCTTTTGAGTTTGGGCATGAGTAGAGTGAAAGCTAAGTTTTCATTAATTTATTATATTAATTTTTATACATTAATTTATTGTATATAGGAAACTATTGTGATTGATTATATTCTTGTTCTTAATTCATTGATCCTTTTAGTTTGGGCTTGAGTAGAGTGAAAGCTAGGTTTTCATTAATTTATATTATATTTTTACACATTAATTTATTGCATATAGGAAACTATTGTGATTGATTATATTTCTTGTTCTTAATTCATTGATCCTTTTGAGCTTGGGCTTGAGTAGAGTGAAAGCTAAGTTTTCATTAATTTATTATATTAATTTTTATACATTAATTTATTGTATATAGGAAACTATTGTGATTGATTGTATTTCTTGTTCTTAATTCATTGATCCATTTGAGTTTGGGCTTGAGTAGAGTGAAAGCTAAGTTTTCATTAATTTATATTATATTTTTATACATTAATTTATTGTAATATAGGAAACTATCTTGTTCTTAATTCATTGATCCTTTTGAGCTTGGGCTTGAGTAGAGAGTTAAGTTTTCATTAATTTATTATATTATATTTTTATACATTAATTTATTGTAGAGGAAACTTTTGTGCGCCTAATATTTGTATTACAACAATTTACTGATCATTAGCAAACAAACATAATATAAGAAAAGAATCAACTTTATATACTATTTTTAAACGTAAATTGAGATGTATGTAAATAGTCAAAAGTAAAAAACTTATTTATATTTCATAACCCAAAGATAGTAATGTTTTTTTATTATTATTACTGGCTGGTAACATAACAGATTACTTTATGCTTTATATTAAAATACAATTCTTTAAAATAAATTATAATAAATTTTATTTTAGTTGAATTGATATATTTTTAAAAAAATTATTTATATTTCATAACCCAAAGATAGTAATGTTTTTTTATTATTATTACTGGCCGGTAACATAACAGATTACTTTATGCTTTATATTAAAATACAATTCTTTAAAAAAAATTATAATAAATTTTATTTTAGTTGAATTGATATATTTTCATATATGCATAGAAATGCCAAAAGGAAATTTAAAGGTGGAGCTGAAAAATTAAGAAAAAAAATGCTGCTGGTCTCAAAGCAGCTGGTGCTGATCCAAAACAGCTTAAATTATCTTTTTTTGATAAATCAATACCAAGTATTTCAAATACTATTACTTCATGTAAATAAACTATTTTTTTAGAGATATCAACAACTGCCTCCCATTCACCACTACCTGAAACAACTACCTTATCTGCAACATCTTCATGTATTATGGCATCAGTTCAATCATTGCCACTATCCTCACACTTGTCAGAAGCAACTACATCAATAATGCCTTCAGATATTTCTCAATGTGGATTATGAGAATTGGATATGCATACACATGAAAATTTTAAGTTGCAATTAACAGCCACTATACCTCAAAAACTTAGATTTTTAATGCAACATCCTATACAACCAATAAACATTAAATATGATAAATTATATTATCGAATGGTAATGAGTGAAAAAATACCTAGAAAATGGATTACCAAAAAATTATATGCAATAAAGCCCAAGCTGTGTACTGCTCAATCTGCCTGGCATTTGCAGTATGTGAAAACACTTTCACAACAGGCTCTACAAATTTTCGTCACATGCACTCATGAAAATTCAAAAGTGAATATTAGTGCTGTTGAGGCCTACCTCAGAGCTTCAAAAAACTAGTCATTTAATAATTCAATTAGCGTTAAAATATTAAATGAAAAAAATCGACAAATTCATAACAATATCCACATAATAAAACAAATATTTGAGATAATAAAGTTTTTAGGTAAACAAAACTTACCATACAGAGGATCAAATGCTACCGAAACACTTAGCCTCTTTGATAATGAAAATTTAAATCATGGCAATTTCCTGGAAATGATCCGTATTATATCAAAGAATGATCAAATACTTAGAGATCATTTAGAGAAGGCTATTTTAAAAAGCAAACGTAGAAAAGATACGCTTAAACTGTCTAATAAATCAAATCGAAGGGAAGAGGTTTTCTCATAACCTTGTTGTCAAAAACAACTGTCAACAAAGTTATTGATGCTGTTCTTGATCAAATCAGGAATTTAATAAAAAAGGAGATTGGTAACAAACGGTTTAGTTTGTAAATGGATAGTACTCAAGACATTTGCGTTTATGATCAAGCAACCATTTGCCTACGATACATATATAATGGTAAAATAACAGAAAGGCTTTTTGCACTTACAAAAGTTACGAACTCTTCTGGAAAAGGATTTTTTGATATCTTGAGTGAATGCTTTTTAAAACATGGAATTCAAATGAGAAATATAATTAGAGAATCATTTGATGGTGCTGCAAATATGCGGGGGGAATTTGTTGGGTTGCAAGCTCTTATTAGACAAGAGGCTCCAGGTAGCTTGTATATTTGGTGTTATAGTCACATATTAAATCTCTGCATATGTGATTCATGCGATAATAATGAAGGCAAAATTTTATTTGGATTATTGAACAGACTAGCAACATTCTTTGGTGAATCATATAAAAGGATGGACGCTTGGGTGAAACAGAATAACTCAACTGGCCAAAATAAACTGAGAAGACTGCAAAAAATAGGTGAGACAAGGTGGTGGGCACGTGAAAAAGCTCTTAAATGGACATATGGCAAAGAGAGCTTACTTCCAATAACGATAAGTGCACTTCGATTTATAATAGATAATAAATCATTTGAGGCAAAAACCTCATCAGAAGCGCAGTCGTTGATAGATAATTTATGTAAATTTAAGACTCTTAGTACAGCTGTAATATATTTAGAAATTTTTGAAATAATGGGGCCATTGTCATTGTATCTTCAAACCAAAAATTTAAATATTTTGTCGGCATGGAAGATGATAGAAGATGCTAAGTCTTCTGTGTCATCGATAACTATTACATCAATTCAAAATAAAGCAATAAAAATGGCTTCTGATTTAAATGAAACACTTTCATATTTATAGCTTACGGAGAGTATCTGTGTACAGACTGCTCTACCAAAAATTCGAATAGGACGAGCAAAGAGAATATATAGTGATGAAGGCCAGGATAAACGTCCTCAAGAATCGATTGACCTTTATAGGGTTGAAGTATTTCGTCCTATAATTGATCAAATTATAAACAGTTTGTCGGAACGCTTTTCTGCAAATAGAGAGCTTATTTTGAATGTGCGATATTTGCATCCAAGGCATTTTGATTACATAAATAGTAAAGGTATTTCTGAAATGGCCTTGGAAAAACTGGCGCAATTGGCAAATATATCGAGTGATAAATTACATAACGAATTGTGTTCATTTTATAGTGTATTCAAAGATTTAATAGCAGAATTAAATGAAACGGACGATGATATCTTATGTACAAGTGAGGAGTCGAATGAAGAAGATGGAATACTACAATATGATAATAACTCGAAGTGTGATAAATGTAACAATTGTTTAATATGCGTGTATGAAATTCTTAAGAGGTACAATATGCATACAAGTGCATACACTAATTATTTTTGGCGTATGAATACATTTTAACTTTATCATTTACGCAGGTTAATTGCGAGAGAACATTTAGCAATGAAAATTATAAAAAAAAGGCTGAGAGCTAATATAGGCCAAGAAAAATTAGAAGCGTTTTTAATGATGTCAGTTGAACGAGAACTATTATCGCAGATTGAAATAGAAGATATTCTTGTTTATTTACGCAAAGGTTCAAAGTTAATGAGAGATTTATTAACATAAAAATTATATATTATTAATTCATTTATTTAAATCTTATTTATATCTATTACAATATGATCTCTAATTTTATAAGTGCAACAATTTTATTCTCTGTTCAATATTGTATAATTGTTATAATTTTATATGTATAATTAATTGATTTTATATTTTGAGTATGTATTATATTATATTTAACATGTGATGTATGATTTGATTTTATAGTGCAATATCCTAAATCTAATATAAAATATATATGTGCAATGAATATTTTTTTATATGTGCAATGAATATTTTTTAATATGTGCAATGAATATTTTTTAATATGTGCAATGAATATTTTTTTATATGTGCAATGAATATTTTTTTATATGTGCAATGAATATTTTTTTATGTGTTCAATGAATATGATTTTGGATGTGCAATTTTTTAAAATAAAATATATGATTATCGTGTCATTATTCTTTTCTTTTTTTAAAATGTAAATTGTTTGAACCTATAAAAAATAACAAGTAATAAAAATATATAATTTAAAGAAGCCATTTAAGGGAACCCGGCCGAAGGCCGGGCAAATGCGGGCCGAAGGCCTGCAAAATAGGGGGTAGGGGGGCGAAGCTCCCATATAAATGAGGCCGCTATAAAAAAATGCCCACTAGGCCGTATCGTCTCCAGTCCGCCCCTGAATCAAGTCAATGTCATGTTTTTAAAAAGTAATACTTAAAATAGTTGTATAATTAAATAATACATTCTAATGAGAAGTAAAATTTGGAATACGCATTAAATCCAATAATTTACTTGCCTCTGGGGAAATATTTCTTTCAGGCCATGTGATATTTCAGTAATAGCAAATAATTGGCTCTTCTAACTCCTTAAAAGCTGTTACTGCTTGATGGCAGACTATCTCGTTGGACAAGGTTGCTATTTCTTTTTCCCTGTTGTTGGACAAGAAATTTCAGAAATAATTATTATTTGACTAGAAATTTGAAAATGGTAGATAAATATTACGCCACTAAAAATTTGAAAATAATAAGTAAATATTACGCCGGAAAACTTGAAATCGAAATTAATTGATAAAATAACTTAGTAGATAAATGTGATAATAAATGTAATATTAAATATATATTTATTATGAGATACGAATAAATATTAACAAATATAAATTAATAAAAACAATAATATTTTCGAAAAATATATCCGGTATCTGCATTTTTTGGCTTTGAGGGGATTTGTCCCCCTGCCCCCCCCCCGCTGCGTACGCCAATGAGCTGAAGGCTATGGATCATACAAGTATATTGTAAATCTTCAGGCAATTAATCCTTATAATTGCCTTATTCACTTATATCTGTTTGTTTTCTGAAGTTTAAATATTTAAATAAGAATATTAAATTAAGTTAATTATACTAAATGTTTTATCTACTTTATAAATTTAGAATAAGAATCTTTAATTAGGTTAAAGCGTTGTGTAAATTTAATCAAGAAAGTGTTAATTAAAAAATAGGAAATTAGAATGCAGGTTGATCTTATGTGGTTCAAAAACATTATGACCAGTGTAAACTGGGTTACTCTTTAACACTTACTTTCACTAAGTATCACAAAATTTCAAGCAACTATTTGATATAAATTGCCTTATTCAATCACATTTCCCTGTTTTGAAAATTTTAAATATTTGAATAAGTCTATTAAATTGTGTTAAATTAAACTGAATTTCTCATCACATTTTACTGGTTTGAAAATTTTAAAAATTTGAATAAGTTTACTAAGTTGTGTTAAACTAGACTGAATGTCTCATCTATCTCATAAATTAGATTATGAATTATTAAAATTAAGCCAAACTGTTGTGTAACTAAAATTAATAAATTGATGACTAATAATGATATAATTTAGGATGCTGTATGGTTTTAATTAACACAATGGATTTATTTTAATATAACGGCTACATATACTTTTAAACTACTGAGGAATTTAAATAATAAATGTTGCTTTTGCTCAACTCCAATATAACATCCGGAGGAAATGAACGGAGGAAATGAATAACGAGTGCACTCTTATCTTAAAATAGTAAATTCTAAACTTAATAAGGAAATACTTATCTAGGTTAAAATATTATATCTGAAAACAGATAAATTTAAACGTAACGTAGGAATGTAAATAGTTTTATTCTTCCTTTTCCTCCAATTTTAATCATTTATTTTTGGGGCCATTTCTATAAATATTCACAAAATAAATCACCCTTATCTTATTTTGTTTCATTCGCATGACTTTTGCGCACAAATAAATATAAAATAATATTTAAGAATATATCTATAAACAAACATAAAATAATTCTGGAAAATTTAAATGAATAGTGAATAATTCAAAAGTATCACTTTTTATCTCCTGATAAGACTTAATAATTTAGGCAAGTCATTTTTTTAACTTTTTAATTAAATTTATATTATTTTAATCATCCTACCTATTTTTAAGGCTATCCATTTTGTCAGGCTGCACAATATGTCCTTTTATCTCTTATGAATATTTTATCTAACTAACTAAAAAATATACAAAGTACATTTTTAATATAACTAAATTAATATAACATTAAGGATCCTACTTTTTAAGCTTACCATTTTGTCGGATCCAGAGATTTACATATCTCCAGGTTTGGGAAAAATTTTTTGAGAAAAATTTTTATAAAATTATTATGAGTTGGACTGGGCTTGGAAAATATTTTTATAAATTATATTGGGCTGGGCTTGGGGAAAATTATGAGCTTGACGTTTGATAATTTTTTTACTATTAACTATGGGTCAGACATTGGCCTAAAACAAGTTATTTTGCAGGCCTGGGCTCGACCTGATCAAAAAACCAAGGCCCATGAAAATCTGATTTTTATTGTATTTTTAAATTCATTATGATTATTTTAATGTTTTATTTCAGTTCTCAACTACCAAGTTCTCCTGACTTCGACTCCGAGTCGAAGTCGCAATAATCGACTCATTTTTACAACTCAAGTGTGAACTCAAGTCGCGACTCGAGTTATGAACTCATGTCTATATACTTGAGTCGACTAGATAACGAATAATTTTACGAACTTGAGTCGACGACTAGAGGACGAATATTTCAAATTAATTATTAATTTTAATTAAGATATATGTTGTTTATTACATTTTTTTATTTTAGACTTCCAACTTGAGTCGTAAATAGGAATTATATACTTGAGACAATTAGAGGACAAATAGTTCTATAAATTTGATCGACTATAGACTAGACTCTAGTATATTTCAAATTAATTAGTTATTTTTAATTACGATATTTTTGTTTATTATTATTAAATTTAAAATTAGATAGTCGAGTAATCCTGAATCCGTGTCGAAGTAGCAATAACCCGAGTCATTTTTACGACTCTAGTTCTGAACTTGAGTCGTGAACTCAATAAATAGGTTAATTTAAATTTTATGAAACTCTATTACTTATTATATAAGTGTTATTTATTGGTTGGTTTTGTAGGGGCTTGGATCTTAAAATCGACTTAACTAGCTATGAGCTCGAACCCCTAGCACAGATTAATATATCTTAAGTTGATTTTTCTTGACCTTATTAATATATATAAATATATGGTTATTAGAGGTATCAATCGCTAGCTAATTAGATCTATTGAATAGGTAGCAAACCATGTCTAGATGAGTGAAGCTATTTCTACGTAGGTCAGGAATTATTTTATCAGCACCAAATATTGATATGATAATGGGTGGGTATCAAATAAGTATAGTTCTACCTTTATATGGTGTATATAATTTTGATCTGGGAGCGGGGGTAAAAAATATGGTCTCAAATTTGTTCGTGAAAAAAATTGACATGTCTATATCTTAACATTTAATTATTAAAAGATAAAAATATCTGCTAGATTACCAAAAATTAGGGTTTAATTTAGGTTCAGGATTTTTAAATTCTATATAACGGAAATTTTGATAACATGAACTTAATCGAAAAAATCAATTCCTATAAAATTATTGGAAATAAAAAAAGGTTGCTCGTAACATCAAAAACCGTTTGAAACAACGTTATATATGTAAATTGACGTATTTATTATTACCTCTGATTGAAATATAAAAGATTATAATCTTCAAGGATGAGGTAATAAGAGGCAAATTTGGAGGATTAAGATGTTTAATTGGTATATATTTTTTTAGAAAACTCATAGAATTTATGAACCCCAAACTATCTTCTTTTTTTTCCTGAAATAATGACCTAAATTTTAGTAATTTATTGATTTCTTCAAAACAGTAAGGGCTTGTCTATTAAAAAAAATTATAACTCAAATTTAGTCGAGTACGCTTTGAAATTTTTTCATTATATGAAATTAACAGGTTAACTTAAATTTTATGAAACTAAATTTTGATAATGTTATATCCAGACCTCGCGCTTGGCTCTAATAATCGACTAAATCTGCTATGAGCACGAACCCCTAGCACAGATCTATGGTTCAAACCCATATATTTTAAGTAATTTTTTATTGAACTTATTATAGATATAAATATATGGTTATTATAGGTATCAATCGATAATTAAAAGACCTATTGAATTGGCAACAATTTATTTATTGTTTAACTCTATCACTCAAAAAATTTCTAAAAAATTTAATTTATTAATAATTGTTTTTTAGAAATTCTATCAAAATTTATTTTTTGTTATTTAATATATATTTTTTATATTTTTTTTATTTTTAAATACTTTTTTTAGAGAATTTTCTCATTTTAAATACTTTTTTTATTTATAAAAAAACTTTGGCCCCAAGCTATAAATAATATAAGAAAGGAAGAAAAAAAAATTATTACTAAAGTAAAGAGGGAGGGAGGGAGAGGGTTTATATTTAATTGAAAAGGAAAGAAAGTACTATATTTATATCGTTATATTTTATTTTTATTTCTTCAAATTTTTTAAGAGTATTTTACCAGGTCAAATACTCCTGCGGTCAATTGACTGATTTTGACCGGTCAATTGACCGACTAAAAAGTATTCAAAAATCATCTTCAAAACCTAGGTTTTTAATTAATTTATGACGATTTACAAAGTTAGGAATTTATTGAATCCTTTGGATGTGCAGCACATGGCTAGAATCTGTTTATTAAAAATTTATGCCAAATACGTTTTATTGAAAGAAGATCATCAAAAAACCAAAACATATAATTAAATTATAAAATTTAATGATATTTTATTGGTAACTTCAAAAAAAAGGCAAATATTGAAAGGATATAAGTCTTCCTTAAAAATTCAATATCAAGTGATAATATTACAATTACATCCCATGAGAATGTTGATGTTGATGCTTATCAATAACATGCCATGAATTTTATATGTAATTTATAAATACATCTTGTAAGTTATTTAAAAAAAATGAAATATTTAGAGTGTATTTTTGTTAAATTATTTTCCCTTAGTTCCCCGAATTTAATTTATTCAATAAAAATATTATTGAAAGGTTTAAAGCGTATTTTTGTGGTTATTTTTTGATTTTCCGTTATTTCCTCTCATTTTTACTTTTTTCCCCTGAACCAATTTTCTCGAGTAATTTGCAACTATCTATACGTTACCCAAAAACCGTTTGAAAAAAACGATATGTATTGAAATTATTTCCTGATAATATGGAAAATTATTGTCTTGATTTTTTTTATTATAAATTTTACATTTTTACAAAATTTTAAATAAAAATATGGGTATTGTATTATATATATTCTAAAAATAAAAATTAATGTCTTTTCTTTCCTTAGGTGGTCTGGTATATTCTAAAAATTAATAACTTTTCCTTTCTTTCATCATTATGTTGGAACGAAGTAAAATAAAAATACACCACCTCCCCCCCCTTCCCCATTTGTTAACTAAAATAAATTTATATTTAACAAAAAACATCTGGGGCTGGGCATATAAAAAATAATTTTAATAATAAACATTAAATTTGATCCAAAAAAATAAAATTATTCCCCCCCCCCCTAAATGATTAGGTGCCAGCAAGGCGTTAATGAATTTAAATTTATTATTTCAGAGAATTATTTAGTATATAATAATTTTTTATAATTATAAAAAAAACTTTTTTCTTTTTACTTTTAAAAAATATATTTATTATATACTAAGAATTAAGTTAAATATATAAAAATAAAGTTTTTTAACATCGTCGTACTTATAGTTTTTTTTGATTAAAATTTTTATTTTTTCTTCAATATGATGATAATGGAAACAGAAACAGATATAGAACAAGTATTAACAAAACCATATTTTTTTATCAAAAAGTTTTATTTAAATTAAATGATCTATCAAAATATTTATAATCTTTTATTAGCTTTTAAAAGTAATAAATTTGTTAGGCCCGGCCTGGCCCGGATCTATTAATAAATTTTATAGGCCCGGTCCCATATATTTAAAAAAATTGAAATACGGCCCGGCCCTACGCCCGGCAGGTCTATGATATTTTATTTATTACTAAAAACATAATTTTTATTAGGATCAAGAGGACAATGACTTGAGTCAAACTCAAAGCTCTTTTTCAGAAGCTAATACGTCTTCTTCTTCAATAATACAAAATAATAATTTCAATATTAAAGATATGTTTATAAACACACCTAACAAATCTCGACGGAAATGTGTCTACTGTGATAAAATCTACAGTCTTCATACGGCTACAAGTATTATATAAATCCTTTATTAAAAATTTTTAATATTTTTTAGCCAACCTTAAAAATCATATAAAGATATGCCACCCTGATTTAATTTTCGAAGCTAAAGAAATAATGCACAAACATATCCCACTTTGTCGTTAATGGCTAGGGATTATTTAGCTCAACAAAGTACAAGTGTTGCAAGTGAGAGGACTTTCAGCAGGGCGGTTGATTGTATTACAAAAAAAAGAAATAGGATGGCTTCACAAACCCTAAAACAATGCCTGTGCCTGAGTTATTGGGACGTAGATCTTTTGGAATAAATGTAAATATTAATGTATACTTTGTTGTGATTGTGTTTTTAGACCATTTTAACATATATTTAGTCCGAATAATATTTTTTTAAACTTTAAACAAGAATTTTACCTTCTCTCCTCTCTCCCAAAAAAATTAGTAAAATTTAATGATTATTTAATTTTTCCAATATATCTTTATATTTATTTTGAAGCTTTCCGGAAGAAAAAGATTTGGCAAATGAAGATGAACAAGTCGATATTTTTATATATTTTATTCGATTTTTTAATATATTTTATTCGATTTTTTTATTGTAATTGTATAATTTTATTTACCATGATTTATAAAGATTTAAATAAATAAAATGAAAAATTTTCAAAGCGTAGTCGACTAAATTTGAGTTATAATTTTTTTTAATAGACAAGCCTGAAGAAATCAATAAATTACTAAAATTCAGGTCATTATTTCAGGAAAAAAAAGAAGATAGTTTGGGGTTCATAAATTCTATGAGTTTTTTAAAAAAATATATATCAATTAAACATCTTAATCCTCAAAATTTGCCTCTTATTACCTCATCCTTGAAGATTATAATCTTTTATATTTCAATTTCAATCAGAGGTAATAATAAATACGACAATTTACATACATAACGTTTTTTCAAACGGTTTTTGATGTTACGAGCAACCTTTTTTTATTTCCAATAATTTTATAGGAATTGATTTTTTCGATTAAGTTCATGTTATCAAAATTTCCGTTATATAGAATTTAAAAATCCTGAACCTAAATTAAACCCTAATTTTTGGTAATCTAGCAGATATTTTTATCTTTTAATAATTAAATGTTAAGATATAGACATGTCAATTTTTTTCACGAACAAATTTGAGACCATATTTTTTACCCCCGCTCCCAGATCAAAATTATATACACCATATAAAGGTAGAACTATACTTATTTGATACCCACCCATTATCATATCAATATTTGGTGCTGATAAAATAATTCCTGACCTACGTAGAAATAGCTTCACTCATCTAGACATGGTTTGCTACCTATTCAATAGATCTAATTAGCTAGCGATTGATACCTCTAATAACCATATATTTATATATATTAATAAGGTCAAGAAAAATCAACTTAAGATATATTAATCTGTGCTAGGGGTTCGAGCTCATAGCTAGTTAAGTCGATTTTAAGATCCAAGCCCCTACAAAACCAACCAATAAATAACACTTATATAATAAGTAATAGAGTTTCATAAAATTTAAATTACCCTATCCTATTTATTGAGTTGACGACTCAAGTACAGAACTCAAGTAGTAAAAATGATTCGAGTTATTGATACTTCGACACGGAGTCATTATTACTCGACTATCTAATTTTAAATTTAGAAAACAAAAATATCGTAGTTAAAAATAACTAATTTGAAATATATTAGAGTCTAGTCGATCAAATTTATATAACTATTCGTCCTCTAATTGACTCAATTATATCTATTTACGACTCAAGTAGGAAGTCTAAAATAAAAAAATTATATCTTATTTAATAATTAATTTGAAATATTCGTCCTCTAGTCGTCTACTCAAGTTCATAAAACTATTCGTCCTCTAGTCGACTGAAGTTCATAAAACTATTCGTCCTCTAGTCGACTCAAGTATATAGATATGAGTTCACAACTTGAGTCGACTTTAATTCACGACTTAAGTTCATAATTTAAGTCGCTACTTGAGTTCACGACTCAAGTTCATAACTCAAGTTCATAAGTTCACGACTCAAGTTCATAACTCAAGTTCATAACTCGAGTCGCGACTTGAGTTCACGACTCAAGTTCATAACTCGAGTCGTAAAAACAAGTCGACTTATCGACTCCGATTTTTTGACTAAAAACTCGACTTGAGTCGTTTAACAACACTAACCAAAATTATTATGATCTTTCATTCAGCTTGGATGAATTTTTCAAAATTATTATGACTTTGTACTTTACCTGGGAATTTTTTTTAATATTAAATATTATGTATAAATGATCAGTAAATTTGACATATTGGTATTATCAAGTAAAAGCTTTAAATTTATTCTTACTCAAACCATAGTATTTAGTCTTAGTTTTAATGGATTGAACCTGGCCTGAAGGGTAGGGGGGGTGTAAAAAAATAAAATTGGATATAATTTTCAAATAACAGGTAACATCTAGCATAAATATAAGAAGAAAATTCTTATTCCCCGTCATTTTTGACGGGCTATCTACTAGTATTTATAAATTTGATATCTTCAAAAAATCTTTCATTTTTATATTATCAATTGATTGAAAAGATAATAAGTCAGTACAACATAATAACACATAGTTTCTTATTAGGCATTTTTAGAGGTTTTAGAATTTGTCTGGAATTTTGGTGTGAATATAAAATATTTTTTTAAATTGCGATTTTGATGAAGTATCTTCTTTAATATTATGATCAAAAGTCAAGTGTTTTAGCAAATTTCCTGTGGTAATGTTGATTAAAAGTTTTAAATTTTATAGCTAGATTATATTTTACAAAACATATATTTTAATTTATTAAGATTTTGGCTTAATATGAAGAAATAATATTTAAAAAATGATACTGTGAAAATGGCTTACTTGAATCATCAGAGTCTACAATAATCTTTTAAGCAACAATTACAGTAAAATTTGTCAGAATTTATGGAAATTGTTTTATTATCTCTTTTTAAGTGTAAGAAACCAAATGACTTCCACACAAATGATTTTTATTTTTATTATTTACTGTTATAATACTAAAATTATTTATAGATTTATTTAATGTAGATGCATCAATTTTAAAAATATGTAAAATTATGGTAACTTTTAGAATTTTAGATTTTTGATGGATTGAGTTCTATAATGACGTCAATAATTATGATTTTAAAATATGTAGAAGAATTCATCGAAATCCTGTTTGACATTAAAAAAAATTACAACAGGAATGTTGAGCAATTATCTATATTATAATTTTCCGATGTCCTCACTACGTCATCGTGACGTCATGTCATCGCTACGTCATATCATCGGTAGGTATTTATTTTGATATTTTTTATTTGTTGATTTTATTTATTTATTTTATAAAAACAGATTAATAGAATTTCGAGAATTGATGGTGTACACATATCTAACATCGATTGAGAGATTTGAAAAATCGTCTTTACAATATTCGCTCAACTTTCTAAATATGAATGAAATAAATGATATGAATAAAAAGATTCAAGCTAATATTTCACTTAATCCTTTCTTTATTTTTTAGTTTACCTTATCAATTTTCATATTATATTATCAATTACACATTAATGAAATCTCTACAAAATACTCAACTTGTATATTTATTTTGAACATACTCAAAATTTTTGTCAGTACTTACATTACAATTTTTTATACTCATATTTTTCTTTCATAACCAATAATTAAGAAGATAATCAAGTATATTCAAATATTTAAATATCCTTATCCTAACTTATTTATAATCTCCAATCCTTATAAATAACTCTTTCTTTTCTTTCTATCTCTATTATCTATTAACCACTATTTCTCAAAACCTTATCAATTCCTTTAATTTAATTTTTATTATTTTTATAATATAATAATTTATACCTTCTTTTCCCCCCTTTTTTAATCTTATTTTTTAATTACCTTACAATTAATTAACCTTAATCTTAATAACATTACATTCATCATGTTAATTTTTTAACTTATAGAATATCATAATAGGCTTGATAAGTCCCCCCCCCCAATTTTTTTTAATGATAGCCCTCCAACTACTAGAAATATGCATCTAATATTGACCCATATACCGGTTTTACATTATTTTAATGTTTGTTTAATTTCAACAATAGTTTATTTATATTTTTGCCTGATTTCTTTATTTGTCTAGGCTAACCCTAATCCCTCACATTGCTACAAAACATGATGAATCTATTAAAGATAAGCAATGAAAATAATGACGAATTAACAAACGCCTTGCCCGTTCTAAAGTTACTGGTAGCCAAAATAATAAAGAACTAAGCTTGAAATTAACTCCCTGGAGGTTTATTTTGTTTTTTTTTATCTTATGTTTTATATTTATATGTTTATTTTATTTTCACCCAGTTGTCTCCAAATATCACCACTACCAAAATCCCTATGCCACCTCTCTCTATTTTTTAAAAAATATAAGCATTAAATTCCGTACTATCATTCACTTCACTAGGAGTTATTATAAATATTACTTTATCCGATTCTCTGAGAAACTTTCATGAATATTTAGAGGAATGTTCAAACTTGAATGTACAGTACTGCCAATTTCATCAACTTTATTAATGGGAAAATATGCAGTATTTCTGTCGTGGCCTTTATAACAATACTTACGACCGTTTTATGGTTGAGTTAAGATTGCCGTTTTCATGATTCTATTTTAGAAGGGGATACCAATTCTGACATTGACAGAAATATCATTTTGCGTGTTCAAACTTAAATGTACAGTACAGCCAATTTCATCAACTTTATTAATAGAAAAATATGCAGTAGTTCTGTAATGGCCTTTATAACAATACTTACGACCGTTTTATGGTTTAGTTAACATTGACGTTCATGATTCTAGTTTAGAGGGGGATACCAATGCTGACATTGACAGAAATATTGTTTTGCGTTCTTCTTTTACAAGTATCTCAAGGCATAGGCATATCATCTTTATCAGGACGTATTGTGTTTTGTACACTGCTTTGCATTACTTTCATCTACAACCCTAAATGATATAAAATTATACATTAATTAATTTCTCTCCAGACGACCGCCCAGATTTATTTTGTCACA